CGGGGGGCGCACCTTGAGGACTCTCTCCTCTCCCCCCTTTGGGCGGGGGGTTTAGGCCCGGGACCCGGGACCCCAACGGGGGGGACCCTGAAAAAGGCCCGAAACCCGGGAAAGAGGGGGGGGCAACCCGGGCCAGCCCAAACCCCCCCAGGCTTGGGGCCCTGCCTCCGGCTCCCAGAAGGGCGCGGGCCCCTTTTTGGGGGGGGCGGCCCTGGGGGGCTCGGGCCGGGCGCGGACTCGTTCGCGGAGCCTGGCGGCGGCGGCGGCAGCGGCCGGCATTGGCCGGCGTTGGCCGGCGTTGGCCCCGGGCTTGTGGCGAATGAGTGGAGCCAGGTGGAGCTCGGGAGAGCGGGGCCGGCGCGTCGCTCACGGGAGGCGGGAGCAGCGAGGCCCCCCGTCGGCGTTGGGTCCGGGGGAAGGTCCCCCGCGGAGCCTGAGGGAGGCCGGGGGCGGCTGCGGCTCTGGATGCGAGCCGGTCTCTTCCCATAGAGATCGCCCCAGCTAGAAATGTAAAAGTTTTACGAAAGTTTTAAAATGCATCTGGGATTTCTGTGCACGTGTAAAGGGAAAGTACAGAATAAAAACCCGAGACTGTTTTGGCCTTAAAAATGGCAGAGATGAACCTGACAAAGAAATGTTTGGATTGAATTGGGAAAAATTATATTATTGTGGTAACTAAATACCTTTGCTTATTGGTACAGCCACCATTTTGGGCTGCAAGCCTTGACAGCCGCCATGTTGGCCGCATGGTCTGCCGCTCCCCTGGGGGCCGCCATCTTGAAACAGCAAAGGCCCCTCCCTCTGATTTAGCCAAAAAGGAATGTCTTCTCACTGAGGCAGGATGGAATTTCAGGGGTGGAGCTTTAAGGCGGAGTTTTACTACGGAAATGTGGATGGGGCAGAAAGTGTTCTTGCCTCGCGGATTTATTTAATACTATTTTTAAGAAGATATTTTTAATGCTTAATTAGCAATCACGGTCTTAATATAATTTCAGTGGTATGATAAACCAATGTTTCTGAGCAGTTGGCTTTATAAGGGCCAACAATAGAGCTCGTATTCCTTAAAAAAGGCTAAGTCATTTTTCTAATCTCTTAAATCTAGAAAACTCTGCTTTCCTTAAACTAAGGACAATTAAAGGTTAAGTCAAAGTCTTTAAAAGAGACTGATAGTAGTAATCCAATTTCTAAAGTCAGATAGAAACTGTGGCTTCATACTGATCTAGATAACGTGTTTACCCACAGCTGTGGTTTGGATTGCATGCTGTCTCTGCTTCTGTAAATTGATCTGTCCTTAATGCTTAAATATGTATCCTTGTTATTGAATTTGAATATATTGTCAATCTGAGGAATGTTAATTATTTACATGTCAACTAAAAATTAAGGCTAAAAGTTTTAACTGGAAAGCATGGCTTTGGTGTGATGGGAGGAAAGAAATGTTAAATGAATGGTAAGCCAGTAAGCTGGAACTGGTCACTGGTGGTGGATTGTGAGAAGAGCTGGACACTGCCTAACTTCTCCTTCCTTGGTACCCCTAAAACATCAGAGGGTACTTCTGGCCTCGATTTTCTTGGTTTTGGATTTGTTTGTTTATTTGTGATAAAAACCATTTCTATCTAAATAAGACATAGATCAAGAATCCTGTCCTGGGATGTGGGAAAGGCCCCCACATCTGTTCCTGTCAGGCCCCCATCAGGGGACTTGGATGATGTTCCTGTTATCTACTCAAGAGCCCAAGGCTGTAAAAATACTTGTTCACTGAAAAGGTGTAAGTGTAAATGTTTATTTAATGTTTATAAGCATCTCTGTCGTTTACTGGGAACTTTGATTTTCTATGTGATATTCTGTGCTGGGTTGGGACTTTGGAATTCTAGTCTGATTGGGACATTTAAGGATGGGGCTCACAGTTCCTCAAGGCAAAGACTTAATGAGCCCTTCCCCCTGCCTGTAAAGGAAGACAATGGGTCTTGAAATCTGTAAAGATAGGCGAGAATGAAGCTGGTCAGGCCCCACCCCCTATCATTCCTGACTTTCTTGCTGCAAGAATTGTCTCTTTTCTTGAGAGGGCTCCAGAGGGCGCACGAGGACATTTGGCTGCGCCTCGGCGCCACCCAGGAGACTGGCCCAACCCCAACTCCTCATCAGCACAGACCAGGAGATTGGGTCTACATCAAAAGGCACCACCTGGAGCCTCGATGGAAAGGTCCCTACACCCAACTCCGTGGTGCTGACGACCCCCACCGCTCTCAAGATAGACGATGTCGCGACCTGGGTCCATCACATCCACGTCTGGTCAGCAGCAAGCTACGGCGTGCTCGACCTGCCTGATGCTGGTAACATTAAATAGACTTAGATAATGCCTGCATCTTCATGGACATGGCTCCAAAGAGACAAGGACAATTTATAGAATCACATGTTTAGTAGCAGAAGATGTGGCTGCCTAAAGCGGCCATGATGCCTATATTATGTTTCATTGTATTGATGTGTTATATTAACCTTTAATTCTCTTGCAGGTTTGAATGTATATTGGCTGTCCTGGAAGGGTACTATATAAGTTGACCCCCAAAAGTAAAGGGTGCCTAGCTGCCAAGAGGACAGGTGCCCAAATGGGCAGGAATGGTGCCCATCAGGTTTTGGTCTCTGTTGAGAGACAGCTAACAGTTGGCAGCCTGTGTACTGCTTGCAGGCCTTTATGACCATGCCCATGTCAGGGGTAGTCTGAAAAAAGCCTGTTTAGAATAGAAGGTCTGAGGCATAATTATGCATAGAAAGAAAGTTTAATGTCAATAATTAAAAGAAATTGGCAAGAAAAGTCAGAAAATCTTAGAGTAGATCAGTATGTCTTTCTTCTTATGTAATTCCTCCGAAATTTGGCAATGCTAACATGGCAATACGTTTCTTTGCATAGATTCAATAAGACCGGTTCCTAATAGTGGTTTTATTAACGGAAAACTTTGACTGGAATACCATGTTTTAAAGAGCCCTGTCTAAGCTCTAAAGACTTGAAGCCAGTAAAAATGCCACGAAGAAAGCCTGATATTCTGCTTGGAAGCCCTGAAGATGGCTGGCGCTGAAGTGTCAGGCCGATGCCCTACCATCACTGGCGGTTGGTAAGAGTAAAAGGGGAGCAGTAGGGATGCCTCTGCATTCCTGCGGAACCCCCACACACTCTGGGCCGCAACAAGTAGGAGGGCTACTGAGATGGGCCTTAAAACCTGGAGCGTGGGCTCAGGTGGAGTTGCTACAGGTGAGGGATTCACCTAACTCAGCAGATACTGCAGGCGGGCCTGATGGCAGCTGGGTGGCGCGGCTTCCTGGCCCTACGGGGCACATTAAGATTCAACCATGAGATTCCAGCAAAGGTAGTCGGTTACCATTCTTGTTGTGTTTATGCAAACATCAGGAATCTTGATTTGGCTTTTTGATAGCCATGGAGGAATTTTAAGAAGAAAAATCCTATTTCAATAGAAGTTGCTAAAACTAAAATAGTTTCTTTCCCCTCCACCAGACCATTTGTTAAAATATGCCCAGTACGAGCCTCTAGCAACGGTGGAATCAGTCCGTCTCATGATTGAGCCGGAAGTTCCAAGACAAAGGGGGGAATGAAAGGGCGAGGGCTAGGTTGCCCCAGGGTAGGGGCTACGTCCTACTCTGCTAGCCACACCCAGGCGGCAGAGCACAGTTCTTTCTCCTCCCCTTACTCCGACCCCCCCCTATATAACCGGTCTAGGCAGGGTTTGCTCTCTCTTGGCCACTTGGCTAGCCGATGGGTCGGTGAGTCTGGTGGACGGGAGCTCAAGCTAGCTTGAAATACAGATTCTTATGCTTTTGCATCGAATTGCTGGCTCCCTGTTGGTTTCTTGGGGATCCTGAAATCTGGGCACAACACTCGGAATCCTCCATTTTGGGGCAAAGCCGTGTGCTCGGCAAGGCTTCTTCCCAGAAGCCCAAGCCTTTGCTAGCCATACCCAGGATTTCTCTAAACTACAATCAAGGGAACTGCATGCCATAGATATGACCACATCCTGTGTAACGAGACACCTACTTGCGCCTGGCCAATCGGCAGGGCCCACAGTCCCCTCCCCTCCCCTTACTCCACCCCCCTATGAAATTCCTCTTCCATCCAGGCTAGCCCTCTCTCTGCCACCTGCTGCTGTGTCAGTAAGGAGGGTAGGGGAGCCAGCCCCAGGTTTGTAATAATAAAGACTCTGCTTTTGCATCGGACTCGGCTGGATCCTGAAATCTGGGCATAACAATCTCAAGCAGCGCGACTGACTGTGTGAACTCAGACGAGCACTGCTTCTTCTCAGAGGAAGGTAAGACTTCCCCTAAAGGTGCGGTTTGCAATTCAGGTTGGAGAGAGGGCCGCGTGCGTGCGGAGCGAAATCTGCGCCCCACAGAGTCCACGACCATTGGGGTCAGCGTGACCCACGAGTGGGGAAGGGGTCCCACAGGGCTGCTGGCAGAAGGGAACGCTAAAAATAAGACCATAGTGGGACTGGATGCAAAAAAGCAGCCTCGGATTTTGCCAGTTGGCCGGCTGCTTGGGGCCAGGGGCGAGTTGGCGCGCGGAGACTGCGCGCAGACCTGGAAGGTGGAGGCTTGCAAATCCGCACAATGTATCAGGCTCTTGTTGTTACAGTTCCCCTTAGAAATGTGCGTTTGATTGTTAAACCCAGTGCATGGGATTGCCCAGTTGGGGTCATTCGCAGAGCCTGTGGGGGAAAGTTCTTTTGGGGGAGCCTGGGAAACGCGGGGGAGTAACAAAGAACCAGTTCTGGGCAGAGGACTTCCCAAACCAGTTTCAAGTACAATAGAGAAAATAAACCCACGGATAGAGAGGACTGACAGCCTCAGATGCAGGAACTGACTCTTCTGTAAAGACAAATAAAGGCAGTCTGGTAAACAAATACAACCTGCCTTAGAATCAGGACTGTGGTTTACAGCACGGAGGGACCGTGTATCGCAGGGAAATCCAACACTCTCCTCAGTGCCTGGCAGGACTAAGGCGTCCCAGAAAGAAGAGTAGAAGATCTGAAGCACCTTCACTACTGCACATTTTTATTTTATTTTAATTCTTTTTTCACCTTTTAATTAAGAACCTATTTTATTGTTTTTTTTATCACCTGATTTTACCTTTTTAATTACTAATTCCATTCCTATTGATGGTTTAATTTGGGGTAAGACTGTTAACTTCTTTTATCCTATGAGATGAATACTGTAGACAAATTGACCTTTTATGCTTTTCACCTACACTCAGTATCTATGGTTTTAGTTTCTGATATACAAAAGAAATAGATGACACATATGTGACAAGTCAGTTTAATTGTTTAGGGCATGATATTAATAAAGCCAGGATCAAAATCTAAAACTAAAATGGATCATTTCTGGTTTTTTCCACCACCTTATAGTTACTTATGATACCATCCAGCCTCCATAAAACTGTCTTATTTTAATTATATGATACAGTGGGAAGGAGTCTGCAACTGAACTTGTATTACAAGTCAATCACCGTTATTGAAAATATAACTTGCAGAGTTCCTGTCATAGTGTCGGTTATGATACTCATTAAGAATTGCTTATTCGTATAGTGACTTGAACTCTTAAGTGTATATTATAATTTAGGATTTGATTTCTTTTCTGTTTTTAAAGGAAATAACCCAATTAACATTCCAGCAGGAGGAATTACAACAGATCAGCAGCCACCAAACTTGATTTCAGAATCAGCTCTTCCAACTTCCCTTGGGGCCACAAAGTAAGACCCATGTTTCAATTGGCTCCTGTGTGATAGTCACACGTGAATGTGGGCTGGGACTCACACAAAACGCCATAATTCTTTCTAAATGTGAGGCAGAGAAAATAGTTAGGGTGGAGGCATGCTCTTTTTCTTTTAATTATAAATGTAGAGCAGATAATAGATGAAACATGGTTTCTATTTTGTTGTCCATTCACCACTTGCCTCTCCTAACTTAAACTTTTTAAGTCTCATATGGTTGAAGGCCTCACTTAAATGAAGCACATTTGAGTCACTTTCATAGATGGCTGAAGTTCTTGTTCTTCCCATAGCCCAACGATGAACAGCTCAAATTCTGGAAACAATGGGACCCTCAGCAATAGACCAGCAGCTGGCGTTCGGAAAGGCTGGCATGAAGATGTCACCCAGGACATGCGGAGCCACCTAGTGCATAAACTGTATGTACCCACCTCACCCATTATTCGCATGTGACAGAAACATTTTGTGGCTGATAGCATTGTGACAGTTTTGCACTTTATTATCAGGATCTGATTTAATTCCTAAGTGGTTCCAGGTGATAGTACCCTAGCAGCTAAAGGGACTCACATCCTTTTTAGGGAATCACAGACACTGCTGGCAGGCCAGAGAATCCCAGACCCTGCATGCCCAGTGAGGGCATCAGAGCATTCATAGCTCTACCCTGTAGAGGAGCATGAACTGTAAGCCATGTCACAGAGGCCAACACTCCCAGTGCAGCTAGATATGTACTCTGAGCTCTGGGATACATGAGGGGTTTGGGATTAGCTCAGAAGCTAATTTATGGCTCAAGATTATGTTTCTGGAGACGCCTGAGAATTGGGGGAATTTGGGCCTAGTGAATACAGATTGCATGACAGTACCATCATATATATAGTCAGTGAACGTGCAGAGTTAATAGTGAACTTTCGCAAGCTAAATTAAATTGAAGGTGAAGTTAACCAATGATTCTCTTGGAGTTTTCTTCATTATTTTAATTTTTAAAAATTTGTAATAAATAGTTTAAAAGTAGGAATTCAAAATCATACTATTCTTGCCCCGCTGGTGTAGCTCAGTGGTTGAGCGTCAACCCATGAACCAGGAGGCTGCTGTTCAATTCTCGGTCAGGGTATATGCCTGGGTTGTGGGCTTGGTCTCCAGTGTGGGGTATGTACGGGGCAGCCCATCAATGATTCTCTATCATCATTGATTTTTCTCTCTCTTCCTCTCCCTTCCTCTCTAAAATCAATAAAAAATACTTTTTAAAAATTGTATTATTCTTGAGATGACCTAGCATTTATTGCTAATAGCAAAATATTGTTTTGGACTTGTAGATAAATCAACAGGTTAGTATTGTCTCTAGAGAATGACTTCATTTGTGTACTCATATTCTAGGCAAGAGAGATTTGGGATTTCTCTCAACAGTGTATCACCCCTGTAGGTAGATAAGCTTCTCTTTCCATGTCACATATAAAGTGGCAAGATACTGATGTATTGAAAGTTGGTTGATAGAATATGTTGTCCTCCTAGCATCCAAGCCATCTTCCCAACACCTGACCCTGCAGCCCTGGAGGATCCCCGCATGGAGAACATAGTGGCCTACGCTAAGAAAGTAGAAGGGGACATGTATGAGTCTGCCAACAGCCGGGTAGGTTGCCTTACTTATTCCAGCCTGCACATACCTGTGGTAGATATAACTGCATCTGTCTGGCTGGCTTGTCTGGAAATGGGGATATGTTAGTTGGGTAAGCCCATCACCTTGAGGAGCCTGACCAGAGAGACTTAGCAGATAAGAAATTAGGTCCCATCTGCTTGGTGTGGCTCAGTGATTGAGCATCGACCTATGAACCAGAAGGTCCCTGTTAGGGCACATACCTGGGTTGCAGGCTGGATCCCCAGTGTGGGGCCTGTAGGAGGCAGGCTGATCAGTGATTCTCTCATCATTGGTGTTTCTTTCTCTCTCTCCCTCTCCCTTCCTCTCTGAAAAAAGAAAAAGGAAAAAAAAAATTAGGTCCCTGCACAACTCTCTGTGTTTACTGTAGTATCCACCACTACAGGTAATGAGGTATACAAAACTGCATTTTATCCATGTCCATGTCCATGTCGATGTGGGCGCTGTTTGTTATGCTTATACTATGTTATTGCCAGCACCAGTGACTAGCCAAGAGGTTCAACTGTGGCAAGAAAAGTAACATGCATTTAGTACCTACTGTCTATTAAATCTTGTAATGTAACTAGTTCAACAAGAATTTTGGCCTTTGGTTTTTTAGTTAGGAGTGTTGAAGACTTACTTTGTTAGTGTACTTAATAAAAAAGTTCATTAATTTTTTAGAACACACAAACCAGATCATTTTTTATAGTTTTGACTGCCTAATGTTATTGCTCTTCAGGATGAATACTATAGCTTATTAGAAGAGAAAATCTGTAAAATAGAAAAAGATCAAGAAGAAAAACGGAGGTTGCGTTTTGCCATCTTGGGTAACCAGCCAGCCTTTCCAGCCCCCGGGGCGTAGCCTCCTGGGAGACCACAGTCACACCTGTGAGACCTCCAGGTAAGGACTTCATTTCCTTCTATCAGCCCTTCATCTGTT